ACGTTGGAAGTGGATAGGACATACATTAGGAAAATCACCAATGTGCATCATGAGGTAAGCCCTAACTTGTAATCCGGAAGGGGAGCGGAAAAGAGACAGGCCAAAGGACACATTACGTCGAGAAATAGAAGCAGATATGAAAAGGATGAATAACAACTGGAAAGGATTGCTCAGGACAGAGTTGAATGGAGAATGCTGGTGGGTGGCCTATGCGTTAGTAAATAATTTCACAAAACCCCTTCTGAAATAAAATCGTTTATTACTATTATCGGATACTGTTCATCCGTCATTGCTTACTTACTTACTTACTTACGCCTGTTACTCCCAATGGAGCATAGGCCGCCGACCAGCATTCTCCAACCCACTCTGTCATGGGCCTTCTTTTCTAGTTCTACCCAACTGTTGTTCATTCTTCTCATGTCTGTCTCTATTTCTCGACGTAATGTGTTCTTTGGTTTTCCTCTTTTCCTTTGACCTTCAGGATTCCATGTGAGGGCTTGTCTTGTGACGCAATTAGGTGATTTCCTCAAGGTGTGCCCAATCCACTTCCATCGCTTCTTCCTGATTTCTTCCTCCGCTGGAATCTGGTTTGTTGTCTCCCACAGTAACTTGTTGCTGATAGTGTCTGGCCATCTGATCCGAAGTATCTTGCGTAGACAGCTGTTAATAAACATTTGTATCTTCTGGATGATGGCTTTCGTATTTCTCCACGTCTCCACCCCATACAGTAGAACTGTTTTGACATTTGTATTGAAAATTATGATCATGGTGTTGGTTGACAATTGTTTTGAGCTCCAGATGTTTTTCAGTTGTAGGTATGCTGCTTTTGCTTTACCGATCCGCGCCCTCACATCTGCATCTGATCCACCGTGTTCATCAATGATGCTGCCCAGATATGTAAAGGTTTCCACATCTTCCAAAGCTTCTCCATCAAGTGTAATTTGATTGGTGCACATTGTATTGTATCGGAGAGTCTTACTTTTCTCTTCGTTTATATTGAAATGAATTCATTTTACTCTATATTCTTTTGATCAATCTATTGTTAAGTTGAAATAGAATTGAAATTATTCACAAAGTTTCATCGAATTCACTGTTTAAGTAGGGCAGTTTTCATATAGAAACTTAAGTGTTTTTCCACAAAATCTTTACAATAAATGAAGCATAATCGTTGAATAGTAATGAATGATAACAAGGGTAACAATAAGATGGTAATCAAAAAGAGAATGGATGTTTTGATTTTTTGTTGTTGTTGATGATGATTTAATTGTTCTCTACATTAAATGTTGATTTTTATAACAATCTGATCATGCCTGTAAACTAGTGTGAATTCTGTAAATATTATTTTCAGAATATATTATTATTATTATTATTATTAATACAACAGCTGAAATCATTTAATCGTTGGCATTCATGTGTAATGAATAAAAGGTGACAATCTTCAAACTTGAGAGGGATTCATTTATTGAACAAATTTTGTATAAATAATCATTGAAAACTACAAATTAATAGAGGGAAGTTTCGTTTTAACTGAATACATATAAACCTCAGGAGCTTCAAATCACTTAGCGAATATAATGGACATTAGCACCATCGGAATCCGGCTCAGTGGTTTATCGGTTAAGTGCTCTGACGCGAGACTTGTATATCCTGGGTTCGAATCCCGCGAGGTGGGATCGTGGATGTGCACTACTAAGGAGTCCCACAATAGGACGAAACGGCCGTCCAGTGCTTCCAGATTTTCCTTGGTGGTCTAGCTTCAATTGACTCGTGCTTTCAACTATGAGAATATAATAGATTTAGTCAGAACTCAGTGATCTCTAATTTTAAATCCAGTGATTTAATAATATAACTGGATCAATATACTGTATCATAAATGAGTTTCTGTTTTTATCCCGATTTGATTATTTCCGTGTACCACAACTTCAAGGGTTTCAACAGATATCTAATTTCAACTGTACTATGGAATAACGTAAATGATTTGATGTCACTCATCTCCGTAAACACAAATCTAATTTACAATTTCGTCAGGTGAATCAGATAAATGTAGACTCAGACACGGATATAATTTGAATAAACTTCAAAAAATGGTGGAATACGTGTTACTTGAACATAATACGTCAGTATATATAAAATAGCGATATGATTTAGTGTAGTTTAAATCTTTGAAATGTCTATCATTGGCTGCTTTAGGTAACCTAGTTTAAACAATCAAAAGCACCAAATTAACTTCAAGTCGAACACCAACTAAATGAAATCAAAATCTCAGCGCTTATCGAAAAATGACTTAAAGAAGAGGTTTCTTCATTAGTTTGTTAAGATAATAGATATAAAAGGCAGGTCATTTGTTTTCATAACACACATTATGTTCACATTGAAGATATTAGCTATTGGAACTGTCGAACAATTTTATTTGAAATATATGAAGAATAGAACATTTTCTATGAAAATGAAAGCAAAAGATCACCACAGATATTGAATGTTATACAGTTGAAATGACCTGTTACCACGACAAATGCTTTGAGCTAAAATGTTTTGGGGCTTGATGTAAACTGTATCGTTTTCTAGTAATGCAGTTAATTGAACTTGGACAAAAAGATATGAAAACATCATGTCGATTACTAGCGTAGTGAGCAAGAACACAAGTTGGAACAACCAAATTACAGAATCTCCCAGTAAAAACAGAGAACCAGACTGTAAATACGTCATTTACAAAATGTCAATCAATCGCTTCATACTTCATTGTTCTTTTGTTTCCATACAAATCGCCTTCTGTTTTAGTTCTTTTCTCTTCAATCTTCTTCACCTTCTGCCACCAGGCGTTCCACTTTTGATTAATAATACATACTACTTCTATATGTCGATATCAACAACATACACTACACTAGATATGAAAGTCATGTATAGATTTGTAACATTGTACTACTGAAGATTGTCATACTAGGATGGAGTGTAAATCTTTACAAATCACATATTTCAATATGACATTTTCTTGGCTCACCATGAGGTAACTATATCACAAATACGATATTCACTATGACGTTTAAGATTTTAAAGATGACTTTTTAACCACTAAAGAGAATACCTGTTTTACTAGAGAATTAATGAAACCTATAGAAGTATAATGATTTAAGTGGGATCATTCATTTTGTCAAAGCTAACTATAAATTTTCTGATTTTGTTGTTAAGAAAAATACTATTAGGAATTTCACTAATCTAAGTGTCAATAAGTTCCTTTTTTGGACCCATACCATCGTTATGAACAGTAGTACAGAAAATGGCTAGTTTTCGATAATATTGTAGTGAATAAAACATTAATCGGGGACAATCAAATGTATTTTAGCACAAATTACAGACTATCTCACTAAATTCTAATAACCATACAGCAAACAGTTGATTTGCAAAATAACAATCGACTGTCTCAATCGTAACTGTTTCTTCTGCAAATATCAGTCCGTCTTCTATGATTTCATTGTTCATGCATTTTCTTATCGATTGTGCTTCATTTCTGTTCTTTCCTTATCGGTCTTCTGCCAAAATACATTCTTTGTCTGACCATCACCATATACTACTTATATGGATATAAGTAGACCACACTACAATATCTTTATCAGTGAATTCACTAAATAGTTATAATATAAATATATGAAGATGTCACACACATAAATCGTAGTATATTATGCAGTTCTTGTTATATACTAGGAAAAAAGTAAGTACTGTTAACTTACGAGATCTTATATTAGACTATCATTCTATTTATATTTGTATGGTATAACTATTCAGTAACTGGATTATCTATATCTATATTCATCTTATTACTAGCTTCATTTTGATCTATTGATTATTATTATATGATTTATTGTTCCTAAATTATACTCGGTTTATTGAGTACTGTCTCCCACGCTTCCAGCCACGTTTGGCTTGATTTTGTACAAATATTATTTTCTATTTTATGGTGTGATGTGGTATGCCTGTCTAGTATATAGACAAAGTATGTTTGAAATAAACGAGTCGCGTTACAGCAGCTGCTATTGGTGTTTTGGACTCAAGTGGACGGGTTAGGCGGATAAGGTCCAATAAGGACGCTAGATTACTCATACTAATCGAACGTCATTGTCACAGTGTGAAGGTCATAGAAGTCGTATTCTATTGGTGGACAATTTACGCGACCTACGTCCTTGTTAAATTCGTAAGGTCATAACGAATCAGCGACGACCTTGATCAAGTCATAACAATTGGCTACAGTCTAGGTCAAATACATAACAGTTTTACACTGTTGGCTTTATGTATGACATAAAAACCTGTCTCATAAAAAGCCTTTTTGTGGTGGTTTCCCTTTCACACTGTCATTTTCTTGTTTATGATGGTAGAATAATTTGATCTTGTCAACTATAGGGTTTCTGCAAGGTATTTAAAGGTTTTTTTCTCAAGAATTTTTATCTAAGAAAGTAAAAAAAAGCATACAATCATAGAAGTAGTATCTTTTTATGAGTCAGTTAAAGCTAGACCACCATGGAATACCTGGAAGCACTGGAAGGCCGTTTCATTTTAGTATGAAACTCCTCAAATCGCACGAGCGGGACTGTGGATACGCATCGTCAAAGAGTCCAACACTAGGATGAAACGGTCGTTCAGTGCTTTCAGGTTTTGTATGATAGTCTAGCTTTAATTGACTCATGAATTGAACTATTAAATTAAAATGATCTTCACAAAACCCCCTTTTTGATAATCTATTTTCATTGGATCAAATATACATCATCATTATAACAGTAAGAGTAATCATTTTTATTTTCTTTCGAAAGTATTTCAATTTCAATTATAGTTTATTATAGTAAGCAAAGATGTATAGTGGCTAGCAGTGGAATTCACGATGCGCGTTTCATCCTATTTGGGACTCGTCAGCTCGATGTACCTGCATCTCAGATTTGAGGTTCACTCTGGGACTCGAACCAAGTACCGTTCGCTTCAAACGCCATCGCGTTATCCACATCGATGGGGAGATTCAAACAAACAATACTAAATGAATTTATTGTTTATTATAATTTTACAAAATCAAAAAAATAATTATCTAAATATTATCATCGACATATCATCATTACTGAATATAACATATTCAGTAGTACAACAAAGTCTCTAAACTGAGCTTCGATTCTTATTAGATTAAAAAGTCGATTTGAGATTAGATATATGAAGTTACAAATGTACATTTTAATATACAAACTGATTTAAGTGTTTATACTCAAAAAAGTGTTCTTATTGAACATTGAATACATATATAGGTCTCTTTGTTTTAAACAAAACTAGCTTCTCTAATTGTTTTATAAGTGTATTTGGATGCATCCGATTTTGATAATCTCTGAACTGATATTAAATGAGAATCATAATTATCTGACTTGACTATCTCTTTTGAATGATGATAATTATTATCAATGATCAATGGTAAAGGACTATTTGTAGTTGGGGTATATTGAAATGATTGAAAGGTTACATTTTCAGGCTTATCATTACAGACAAGATTATCAATATAATCAGTTTCATTATCAACAGAGATGTTCGGTTTACGATGACTATTCTTAGAAGATTTGACATAAATCGGTATTTCTTCTGAATGATCTACGGTTATTGTTGTATTAACACTATCATTATTACTATTATTATTGTCACTGTTATTTGATGGTTCATGATCACCTGATGTAACGTTCTCATCACCGTTATGATCATTATCCTTGATAACATCATCTTGATTTTTTACTAATAATTGTTGACATTCTTGTTCATCTTTCAATGGTAAAGGCGAATGATGATGACGATGATGGTGTTTAGACTTGTTTGGTAAACAAACCTTTAAATTATCCGTATATATTATTTTAGGCGATATAAGCAGATCGTCTTGATGTTGTGGGGTATGAAATGTTTTATAATGAATTTGATTCCTTGAACATATCAACCGATTTGTATCAGGATGACGATAAGTTAACATAGGATTTGGATCAGTATTCATGATAATTGATTGGTGATTGTGTCGTCTAAGTGTTGCTTGTAGTAATGAAATATCTTGGTAGGAAGAAAGCGGATGCTGTTGGTTTCGATGTTCTTGCCGTTGAGGTTTGAAGCGATGCTGAAATGATTTTAAATTTGCAGGGTTTTGTAATTGATTTACTGGATAAACTGGTAGCGAATTACCTCGAAAATGCATTGGATATCTAATCGGATTAGGTGACATAGCATAGATTAATGTAGGCGTTTTAGATGACATTTGTTCACATCCTTCATTATTCATTATTGATTCTGTATAAATGATTGACTGGTGACTCATACTCACTGGAGAATTTAATTGCTGTCGACCCATTGGTAAACAATTACGATAATTATTGCCTACCTGGTTTAACCCAATAGCTTCAATATTCTGAATAGTTTGATGTGACCTTTGATCAAAAAATGGAGTTAAACAACGTGAAATATGTGATATTCTATTATCAACTGTTGGAGCTAAACATTGATATTCATTTTCGACATCGAAACGTGAATGAATTGGATTTTGTACACACTGTGGACTATATGTAGATTTATTTAAATTATTCTGTAATTCGGATGTAAGCAAAGGTGATTGAGGTGTTGGTCTATTCAATGTGGTATTAAATACAAGTCGAGGTTCAGAATTTCCTTGAATAAGAGGGTAAGAATCTGAAAGAAAAGACAATCGAAAAATATTACATATTATACTGATTGGCAATTATTTTTTATCAGAAGGGGTTTTTGTGGAGATTTAGTATTTTCATAGTTGAAAGCGTTAGTCAATTGAAGCTAGACCACCATCGGACGCCGGCTCAGTGGTCTATCGGTTAAGTGCTCTGGCGCGAGACTGGTAGGTCTTGGGTTCGAATCTCGCTAGGCGAGTTCATGGATGTGCACTGCCGAGGGGTCGCACAATAGGAAGGAACGGCCATCCAGTGCTTCCAGGATTCCCATGGTGGTCTAGCTTCAATTGACTCACACTTTCAATTACTTTTTAAACAAATAATTCGTTAATATTTTGTAAACATGATGTGTCGCTTGACATCGAAAGTCGCTACTGATTTTATATGAAAAAGCAACTCGATGTAAACAGCGTGTAGTTTACAGGCAATAATGTCTTCACAGAACCAATTGTTCTTCCTTATCTCTTAGCAAGTTGAAGATCTTAAAGGTACCCATCATCATGAACTAAAAACAGTTGAAGAACTACTGAAAACCCAGGAATCACCAGATAGTTGTTTGTTATTGGTCAATAGCTCCTCAATGGTATGCACTTCAAAACCTTCACACCAAAAATACATTACGTAACCATAAATGAGTTAGAATACAACGATCTATTTTTTTCAAACCAAACCAATTCATGGTGTAGAGTAATATCCAGCTGATATAGCCTGTAGATAACCGTCTAACTTTACAGTTTACAACTCCTTAGAAGAATTGCAGGAAATCCATCTCGGGGCTAGTTACTTTTAAATGAATCGAATAATTCAAAAGTTTCAGATATTGAAAATGATTGTTCCAAACAACTCATAATGTATTATATTTTTTAAAATAATATGATTATTATCAGGAGTTTTGTGGATATTATAGTAATTTTAACAGTTGAGATCGTAAATCAATTGAAGCTAGACCACCATAGAAAACCTGGAAGTACTGTACGGTCATTTCGTCCTATTGTGAGACTCCTGAGCAGTGCGCATGCACGATATCGCCTCACGAGATCCGAACCTAGGACTTATCAGTTTCGCGCGCGTGCGCTTAATCACTAGACCACTGAGCCGGCATCCAACGGTGTTAATGTCTAATTTCAACCGATCCACAAAGTTGAGCGACATTCAACTATTAAAAAAACAATACCAATCAGTTAACTAGTATTTTCTATAAAATTATTAGAGTGAGTAACTCAGATAATGAGCAAGTCGCTTCAAGGTCATGTCGCATATATCAAACAGAAAACTATCCAAACAAAGTTGACAATTAGTTTCATCACAAAATCGTAGTAAAATTTACTTAAGATTAAAAATTAGATTGAGGCTTTAGGATTAAAATTTATAGTTTAGGGTTAGAGTTGAGGATTAAGTTACATATAGAATAACTTTAAAATCGTATCCTTAATCTTAAACCCGAATTTTAATTGATAACCTTAAATTGTAAAACTTAATCCTACTACTGCTACTACTAATAAATCCTTAACTTGAAAATTAATCTTCAATCTGTATTCTAATTAATTAAACAGGGTCAATAATTCATTCATCAAAGTAGTTTAAAGTATAGTTTAAACTCATTCCGTTTTTATGTTATTTACTTAAATCATATTATATTATGTTGTGAATGAAAACTATTAGAGATTAACACCGTTGGATACCGGCTCAGTGGTCTATCGGTTAAGTGCTCTGGTGCGAGAATGATAGATACTGGGTTCGAATCTCACTCGCGGGTAGGGATCGTGGGTGCGCACTGCTTAGGAGTCCCACAATAGGACGAAACGGCCGTCCAATGCTTCTAGGTTTTCCATGGTGATCTAGCTTTAATTGACTCATGATTTCAATTATGAAAATATTAGTAAACAGTTTAGAGTCAAACCATCTGTTATTTTTAAGTAATATAAGTAATATATATGGGTTTTGTGGTTAATGTTAATGTATATTATTTATTTACTATTATTATCCCTACTACTGACTAATGTGTTTTCATTCTAAATGAATTCTAATGATATGATTAATGGATTTATGACATGTTTATAAATGATTTTAGAATATCGTACCCTGTTTTTCTTTTTCTAATGATTATGTATATGTGTACATGTAATGGAAGTAATGGAAACACACTATTATTCTATTCATAGTTTTAAATGTTGAAATATATTTATCTAAATGAAATAGAGAAATAGGATAGAACTCATTGGTTGTGTATAAAAGATTCTACTTTCATCTGTTCTATAAAAAGATCTAACAAAGTTTATATTATTTTGGCTATCAGGACTCAGTCGCTAAAAGGATAACACGATGGTGTTTGAAGCGAAAGGTACTGCGTCCGAGTCCCAGAGTGAACATCAACTCTGAGATGCAGGTACATCCAGCTGATGAGTCCCAAATGGGACGAAACGCGCGTCTTGGATATCACTGCTAGCCACTATCCATATTCGCTTATAAAGCTTGTGACTTCAGGCAATATCGAGGCAGTCCGTACAGTGTGCACATATGCCAATAAGAGACTGATCAACTGCAGTCCTTAATAACAATCGGAAGATACAAGTAAACAATACCATGTGAATCTTTATTTTGTTAAGGTTTGTATTTTCTTGTTCATTGTGTTCAGATCTGCAACTGATCAGTTTCTGTTGGCAAATGTACATTCTGAGCGGTTCATTTAGTCAGGAATTTTTATTAAAGTTGGATGATGCCTAAGAGTGGAATTTAAGACGCTGGTTTCATACTATTTGGTACTGGGTAATTAAATGTGTTTACAAAGAAATTTTATAAGTGCTTCAATAAACTACCACCTTCGTCGTCTACTTTATTACGTTTAAAGTGGGGTGAAGTTATTGGACATTCATGTCGAAAGTTTAGTCTCTGCTAGGGACTGAAATAAGCTGGAAATAGAGTGGAAATCAAAAATCATTAGGTCTCTTTTTTAGTCTCCTAAGAAACGCGAAGTCAAGAACTCATGACCAGTTGAATTTGAGACTTTTTTATGTTGTTGTGAAGACAATAGCTTTTAACAAAAATGAGTTGAACCCGATGAATAACATTTTTTTTCTAGTGGATTTTGACTACTGCACTAACACCATCCATAAAGTTCCCCCAGTTTATGGCAACCAATGATGTGAGTTAATTTTTAGTTGAAAAACTTCAATAAGTTCCCCATCTCCATATCATGTTACTTTCTTCACTAGTTTTGGGCGACCAACTAGTGTATGGGTTACGATTCTACAAATGCCATATTGGATCTCAACATTTCGGTGGTAACTCATCTGGGTAAGGTATAGATCGATGCAATTTTCGAATCTCTGAAGATATTTAACTTAACTTGAGATCACGGATATGTCTTCCTAACAAATATCAGTTAGCATAGAATTTAAGCTTACGTTCTCATGACAGCTGTCGCCGACGAATTAACATTGAAATAATTGAAATGCCACATTGAGTCACTTTGATGACCACACTGTACAGTCAATCAACAGAACTCGATTAGCACTAGGAATCAGATAGTATAGTTTTGATCAACAGTCGTTGGCTGGTCCGAAATCGGGACTATTCATAGCGTGCTCGGATGGTCGAGTATAGAAACATCCCATTCTCCTGCTAACATACCATCTCAGAGTCAAGCGCCAGGTAAAAAAAATTCAAATGAGGTAATCTATTGAGAAAGGTTTATTATGCGCCTACTTGGGCTCTCAGTCTATATATCATTGTCTGAGTCAGAAAAACAGTCGCATACGCATCCGTGATTTATATATACTATAGTTTGGTTACATAATTCAGACATACTACACATTTCGATCTTTTCATTTTCAAAATGGCTTTGGTATACTATAGGAACTGAATCAGACGAGAAAACGCTACACAGCCATTAAATGTGACTGACGATTTTAAACAAATCTAGTTTCATTTCAATTAACAGAAATGTCCTGATGTAAAATTACATGTTATCAATACAAAGAATTTTATTCCGCTACATAATGTCATGCATAATACAACCCTCCAAGATGTTGTAATGCTTCTATATTAATGTAGATTGTGTAAGTTTAAAAGATGTCTAAAACGATAGCACTTACCATGTGGATTTTGAAGCATATCAGTTGATAAAGTTATCGATTTCTCTGTAGCACCAATAGATCTATCATTAATACATGACACTTCATTAGAATTTATTGTAATATCTGTTGCACTGATCATATTATCTGGCATCACAGGATAGAATGATGCAGTATTTCTTGACAGTTCAATTGGCTATAGTTTTTAAGAAGAACACAATAAATGAAAATGTTTATAGGTTTATAGGGCAAGTAGTAAGCTTACTTTTATGATAGCATTAAAGACTAACGAACGATTCAAGATCACACTTGGTCTGTCTCATATATATACTTAAAATTCACTATGTAAAACATGGTTAATTCAATAGTTTGCACTCATTCACTACTCATGGCGTAATGAAACTATCATTGAATTCGTGAAATACAAACAGATCAATAGTTAATAAGCTCATTATCCACATGGACGGTTGAATCACTTCAGAAACGGCTACTAGAAGTACATTTTTAAAAACAACTACAAATTTCAATCAAAATTTAGCTAAAAGTGAGAAAAAATCTAGGGAAGAATATCATTATCAATGACTAAAGCCTATAGAAATATCAACCAAACTATCATTTAGTTACCATAGGGGTTATGTAGAGATTGTTCCAGTTTAATATCATGGACTGATCTTGACTAAATAACTTAAGAAAAGCAGAAAGTACTGGACAACTATTTCGTCCTAGCATCCTACCAGAAAGCATACCCATTAATTTCGGTCTCGTGATCGAACGTTTAACTTTTAGACCACTGACTTATTATCCAAATATGTAGTTATCGGACTTCAATGGGTTTACGATATAATTTAACCATCTTCTAATGTCATTGGTGCATAACTTCCTCACTCTCGATATAGCTGAACTCTACTAGTAATTCTTTTTAATCAGGACGCTGGGGATTATTTAGTTGTTTTAATTATCACTTTAACAATCTATTGGTTCTATGAAAATCAGTTTTTAGTCATGATCGAATTAATGAAAGTGCTATAGATGACGTTCACTGTCTATGACACTAAAAGAACAACGTTATCTTTGTAAAATTCATCGTACTAGACTATTATCAGTTTTAAATATCCTAAAGAAAACATGAACCTAAAATGAATAATCTTAGAAATTTCTCATGACTTTATTTCTGTTTGTATTATAGATTGATGGATTAATAAGTGACTGTTTGCATGAGTATATACACTTGAAGAGTTAATTTGCCTGTAACCGAAAACTTTCGAAAAACAAATCATAAAAATAATAAACCTGTTATCAATTTCAATAGTTGAGATCATGAGTCAATTGAAGCTAGACTACCATGGAAAACCCGGAGGCACTGGATGGCCGTTTCGTCCCATTGTGGAACTCCTCGGTAGTATGCATCCACGACCGCGCCTCGCAAGATTCGAACACAGGACCTTCCAGGTTTTCCATGGTGGTCTAGCTTTAATCGACTTATGATCTCAACTATTGAAATTACTATAATATCCACAAAACCCCTTCTGATATTAAACCTGTTATCAACTGATAAAAAGTTAATTAATCCATATTATGTATTTATTGTAAGTGAATATGTTTGCTTTGATTGTCAGTAGCTTTGACATGCTGATGATGAAGTAATTAAACTTCATAGTTGAACATTTATTCCATTAGAAAGTGAATAATTCTCATACCCACCAATCATTTATCTGTTAAACAACTGATCATTCTTATACTTGTGTCCGACATTTTATATAATGATGTATTATATAGTTAGGAGAAAAACGTTATCTACTGGGCAGCTATCTTATCATCTGATATTGATCACATTAACAGTTGTCACTAAGCCACATAGCATAATTTCATATTAACAATCAATATGATCACTTCATTCATTAATTTAACATTGTATATATATATATATATATATATATATATATATATATATATATATATATATATATATATATATATATATATATATGGTGGCTAGCATTGGAATACACGACGCGCGTTTCATCCTATTTGGCACTCGTCAGCTCGATGTACCTGCCTCTCAGAGTTGATGTTCACTCTGGGACTCGAACTCAGTATCATTCACTTCAAACGTCATCGTGTTATCCACTCAGCCACATAGCCACTTGCTTGTGCAATGTTGTGAAGTAACCATAAATGATTAATTCACAACAGTAGCAACGTGGATAAAAGTCGATTTTTAAAATATCGATTGTATTGAATCAGATTGGTTTATTTCAATCATTCGATCTTGCAAGTTGAAACAACTCGATCACTTCTCATTATCACATATGATCTGTTGCTTAGTATTGAATTCATTGATTTTTGAAAATAGAGAATTTGTTCACAGTGTCATTAAATCTTAATTTAGAACAAGTTTGACGTTTGAAAATAACCTTACTTACCGCACATATTGTTTCATTATTGTCTTGATTACTTTTTAAGTTGCAACCATTCGGATTCGATCTAAAGGTACCGTCTGAAATTAAGTGTATTAGTAGTTAAAAAAAATTAGTGAGTAGACTTTAGCAAACAGTATTTAAATTACTGGTAAGAATTAATAATGTAAGTTCTGTAGTTTAGGTGTTTACGTAAAAAATTAAGTTCACTCAAATTTCATAAATATCTCTTTGTCCTATAGGAGGTCGGCTATAAATCGGATAGCCCGGCAGTAATGTTTCAGACAATAAGACAGGAGGACGCTGGTTTAAATCTCAGTAGAACATCAGTTACTATGGCTTTAGGGGTACAATTTGTTGACGAGTGCCAACTAGCACAAAACCTATGTCAAAATCGATGTCATGTCACCTACATCCAACACCCTAACATCTTAAATTATGTTGTAGTGGCTGGCCTATGTCGAGCTCGCATAGGTTACTCTAGTTTTTGGACAGAATAATCTACTCATTCTTCTTAAACTACTTTTTGACCTTGTCACTTATTGGCTTATGAACCCTGATTGTTTTTTATGTAAGCGCATGTGTGTACATTTTCTTATCCTATTTATCAAATAAACGTAACTTATTTTTGTCTGACTATAAATGTCGATTCACTCTTAATTAAATCAAGTAGACTCCCATGCCTTCTCCACCACGTGTCATTTCGCTTCGGTTCCTTTGATCGTCTGTCTGGATCAATGGCTATTTAAAATATAAATATTCGAAATCCATTCTCGTCGTTGACTTATTTAATTCCATTATTCACTAACGCAAGTTAAGTTGATGATTATATACAAGGATTGACGACATGTATAAATTGATAACGAACATTCGTCTGATCTAACTTGAAAGGATGAAAACTCAGAAAAACATTTTTTCTGATGTCATTTGTTAGATTTCTGTCACTAAGGGAGAACATCATTCAACCATGGGTCTTGTATCTAATCATCTTATGGATTCCATATAAACACTGTTACATTCATATAGGTAAGTACTGGTTGAGTTTACATTCCCAAATCATAGCCCACGAATCAATCTAAAATCACATTTGTCAAACCAATATGTTGACCATCGACCAAACTATAGTTGCTTTTCACTGAGAAAAATGCCATCAAATGTTCATAAGATCATAAGAAAAGTATTGAATAACTGTAGTCAATGAGAATACGGGTGGAGACAATCAAATGTATTTAAGCACAAATTACAGACTATCTCACTAAATTCTGATAACCATACAGTAAACAGTTAATTTGCAAATAACAATCAATTGTGTCAATCTTAACTGTTCCTTCCGCAAATATCAGTCCATCTTCTCTGATTTCATTGTCCATGCATTTTTGTACCGATGGCGCTCCATTTCTGTTCTTTGCTTATCGGTCTTCTGCCAAAAAACATGCTATGCCAGACCATCACCATATACTACTTATGTGGATATAAGTAGACCATACTACATAACAAGTGATTGAATAAGTTTAAATAAAAACGAGATGGAGTGTTATTGCACTTCAATAGTTCTTGGCCTTAGAATTGAGGTTAGGATATAAGTTAAGACTAGGATTGTGTTGAGAATAGATTGTGATGTTGGAAGTATGATTTGTGGATAAGATGAGGTTTCAGGAGTAGGTTGGTGAAAGAGGTTTGAGGTTAAGATTAGGATTCATAGTAAATATCAATCAACTTTATATCCTAATCTTGAAGTTCAACCACAATTCATAACAATAAATTTTATTAACTTGTAGTCAAATTTGAAAAGTCCATCATTCATGTGAAAAAAACATTTTATGTAAATTGTTTGATTGTATATTATAATTTTCTAACTTCCAGTTGAACTTCATTGAAATCATAAACCCACCAATGTTAGACTTGGAAGCACGAGACAACATTTCATTCTAATGTGAGACTCCTCAGATCTCGCGAGGCGGGATCGTGGATGCGCATTGCTGAGGAGCACCATAATAAAATGAAACGGTCGTCCAGTGCCTCCACATGGTGGTCTATCTTCAATTGACTCACGAATTCAACTATGTAATTACTTGAATCTACACAAAACCCTTTCAGATAATTACAAAAAATGTTTTGTTTATCTAGTAAGAGTTCTCATTTATCTTTATCAATTAATTATACTTGTGGAAATCTATTCTTTCATCAATTATTCAATATTAAAGAACTTACGTACAAACAGATATCTGATTTTATAATGATAACACTAATGTCAAACTTAATCAGTAAACAGTTGTTTTTTCTTTCTTAAAAGACTAAAGACAGTAATTCAATTAGTATTGTTTGTTTGAATCTTCCCATCGATTTGTTAGGACTGCAACCGATCAGTCTCTAATTAGCATATTTGCATACTGTGCGTATCGCCTCGATATAGCCTAAATTCACAAGCATGGTAAGTAAAGATGAATAGTGGCTAGCAGTGGAATCCAGGTACATCCAACTGACGAGTCCCAAATAGGACGTAACGCGCGTCAAACTGGATTCCACTGCTAGCCACTATCCATCATTGCTTACCATGCTAGTAAAGATAGTAGTTTCATTGTTGGAAAAAGTAAATTTTTAGTACCAATATTGACAATCGATTACCCATACTGTTTAAGTTCAATTATAAAACTAACTGTTTATAAGTTTGTGTTATATTTAGATTTGAACTACTATAACACTTCACGTATAAACAAACTGTTTTGTTTTATTCATCATTTGAAAGTTACCAAGGAAGAAACTTATGACTTATGAAGAAGAATTTCATGGTTTGATTCTTCTTCTTCTTCTTCTTCTGATGACTTATCTCTCTGTCCCTCCCCTTTTTCTATTAAATATATGTTTGTGTGTTTATCGATGATTTATTTACTCTTTATAGTATAAACAAATCACTGTTGACATCATTGTAAACAAAAACAATATAATGATTTATAAATAGGAGATCCATATGTATGATCTAACAATTAAGTGAATATATTTATCATTAGGTCCTGTCAATTGTGAATTATTAAGTCTATCGGTTAAGTGCTCCTCCGCGAGACCGGTAGGTCCTGGGTTCGAATCTCGCTCGCGGGGCGGGATTGTGGATGCTTACTGCTTAGGAGTCCCACAATAGGACTGAACGGCCGTCCAGTGCTTCCAGGTTTTCCATGGTGGTCTAGCTTCAATTGACTCATGATTCCAACTATGAAAAATGATGTACTTACATTCAGAGCTGATTTGTAAACATGCAGAAGTCAGGGATATTACGACAGTCTTTATGATACTTACTATCAACCTCTTATTAGAACTTAGTGTGAAGAAATATGCCTATCATTTTTTCCTTATAAGTTAGGCTTGTTTAACTAAGTTAAGAAAAAATTCAAACGTAGCTAGTGTAATAGAGCACGAGGAGTCATTCTAGAATGAACAGAAGATTTCCAGAGACTATTACGTAAATACGGTATCTTGTTAAGAGTTAACTTCAGAATGACCATTGAATTTAAGTTTGACAAAGAGCATAGAGTTCAGTATGCTTTGACATTTATTACGTTTGCTAAGGAGATCGATGAATTACTCATTTTTTTGTTGGTAATGCTAAATATTTACTAGTAATCCAAACGGCATTTGGTTTTTTTTCTACTTCCGTCCTTTATATGACGTTTAGCCTTTTCTAATTAGATATCACTACTTTTAGTACGCTAACTTTTTAAGTGACGCATTTTAAGTTATCGTGCTTAAATCTTATGTTTTTCTTACACTTCGACTCCTTCTTGAATTAGCGGATAGTTGTTGGAGTGTTGTATGCCAGCTGTAGTCAGCGTGTCCCTAATAGAACTATGCGCATAAGATTAGATTAATCTCTTTTAAATACGCAAGTATCTTCGGCCGAACGGAGAGCATAACAGCAAACAGTCTAATCAAGACAAAAAAATTTTGTAAACCCATACTTAGGTACTCGGAAACGAAATCACTCAAATTTGTTATTTTTTTCATACTACTTACCAAATTAGCTTCATCAACTAGTTTACTATAATCTGAAAGTTATCTGTTAGCTAACAGACGACAGTCATGGATTCAGAATTCTGTATTATTGATACCACTTATTAATATACGCTACAAACTCCGCCTGCAGCTCTTTTAGAATTACTGCCGGTCCCAAGCCCGGGTAAAGGAGGAGGGTTGGGCATGGGGTTAGCGCCCTCATCCTGTAGAAAAACTAACTCGCTAGAAAACACTAACCAAAAAAAATAATTCAAACCATTTAAACTCTGCCCTGGGAGTTTAAGGAATAAGCAGATATGAAAAGGATGAATGTTAACTGGAAAGAACTGGAAAAGATTACCCAGGACAGAGTTGGGTGGAGAATGCTGGTTGGCTTCCTATGCTCCTCCACGAGGGGTAACAGGCGTAAGTAAGTAAGTAAGTAAGTAAGTAACAAACCTTCTTCGCTAAATTTACGCCCAGTGAGTTTAATTGTCAACATACGAGCAGTGATATTTGATTTCGAAAACTTATACGAACAATGAAGATAGAAAGTGACCCTTTTGTTATGTCATCCTATTGATAAATGCATACCTTACAGGTCAGTAATTTTAACAGATGTAAATTTACTACTAAAATCAATCTGTTAGTAGATAATATCAAACTGAACTCACCTTTCAAGTAAGATTTAGAAGTTGGCACTGGTAATAAAAGTGTTTTCCGTCTAGTCAAATAAATCAATACCATTATAGCAATTAATAAAATGATAAATACGATTATTAAACAAATTACTGCAACTTCACTGATGACAAAACTGTTCGATTGATTATTCCCATCATTATTATTATGATTGGTTATATAGTTTTCATCATGTCCATATGGATATGGTTGTATTATACCTCGGTGTTTTCCGCGTTTTAAATCAGATAGCTGGTGATAACCTGAAGGATATTGATTTCCAACATGTTTATCATTCTGTGGATGATCTAGTGACGATTTTAAATCCCAAATATTCTTAAATTGAGTAAATTTCGGTGGATAACGTTTATTAGATTCCATGCTACTGCTAGCTGAATTCTCTTGTCCATTCATTCTTTGATGTGAACCAATGTTATTATTGTTATTGTTATGATTGTTAACGTTTAAATTAGAATTAACATGACCAGGTAACATTGGCATATTAGCTGGTTCAATATGTCCAATGATTGTTTGACCTACTGAAGAAGATGGATTATTTAATTTGTTGCGGTTAGTAACTAAAGATGGATTTAGATAATTTGTTAAATGTGGTAATCTAACAAGATGTGGAAATTCATTTGGATCAATTACTAACTGAACCCAAACAGGTGTGGCACAACGTTTTGGTATACCATGATCACAAGCTTCGAAACGTAGCACATATGCGATAGGATTAGTAGGATTTTGATTCAAATTTATATTTTGTTCTAATGGTTGTATAAAATGATCAGATTGTGAATAGAGATTAGGTGATAAGGATAGAATGCCAGTATCTGAATTCAAAACGAACAAATTATCTGTATTGCCAGCACCAATTTCATAAGTAATTTTAGCATTTTCATTAATATCAGCATCAGTGGCTTCAATTTGTAGCAATGGTCTAGATTCGGTTAAACTGGAAGCTTCACCTAGGGAAAAAATAGAGTTGGATTACTGATTAGGATGTTTAATTTATAGAATGATGTATATAGTTTTCATCACAAACTAATAAAAAATCACAATATGTTGAAACTAACCTTCAGTGACAATCGGCTTTAAAAGATTGAAATTTCCGTTGATTATTTTAATAAATAAGCCATCACAGACTGATCCCAGTTTGACAAACTTTTACAACCAGGAAACACTAAAAATCTATTTCGCCTTAACATGGGACTTCATAGAAGCGTACCTATTCAACTCCATCGGCGACCAAAGTCATATGTGATGCAGTTACCCACCAATGATATTAGGATGTGGTTGTACAATATAGTGAAGTTGTATGAACATAGAAATGAATCTAAAGACCAAACGTTCTCTGTAGCACTTGAATGTTATATTTTCGATCTCCGATGGAGTCGTATTGCCTAATAATGAGGAGTACCATACTAGAACGAAACAGTTATCCAGTACTTCTTGGTTCTTAAAGACTATCTGGTCTAGATTAGTTGATTATAGATATCTATGAAATCAAACAATCTTCACAAAGTGCTAATGGTAACAATTAGTTAATGGCTTAAATACTGGTAATTATCTAAAAAAAGAATATAAGGACTATTGTTTTTAACATTTCAGAAATATCCAGTTCAAAATGAGTAGTGGTTCATTTTAAGCAAAGCTACTATGGAAGCAACTAATTCGAGGATATTTGTTTCTTAAATATACTCTTTTCAACTTTTGTTTAATTTTAATAGATGATGGTCTAACATCAATCGATTCATGATCTCAATCGAAAACTTAATAATCTCCACAACCCCATACTGATAATTACCATGAGCTCACTATTGATTAGTTTTATGAGAGAAGTTTCAAAGTTGTAATGAGAAGCCATGACCAGTGGAGCTAATCCATGTCTTTTGTGAGGCAGTTGCTGACTGAAGACATTGGTGGACGGTCGTGCAATATGATGGATCTGTAGAGGTTAGACATTAACACGCCTAAATGTGGCCTAAGTGGTCTGCAGGTTAATCTTTCGCATATGAGACCCAAGATCCAGGGTTCGAGTCCCATGTGAAGGGATCGTGGATGCGCATTGCTCACCAGTGCCACACTTCGACGTCCAGTGCTTCCAGGTTTACAATGGTGGTCTAACATTGATTCATTCATAATATCGATCTAAACCCAACAATCTCCACAGCCTTATGCTGACAAAGTAATATTATCAGTAACTAAACATATCGTATATTAACCATCTGATGTCGGCTCAATAGTCTAAAAGCTTAAATGCTTCTCAAGAAATCTGATGTTTTTGAATTCAGTCCACAATGTGATCATGGATACAAGAAGTTGAACAACCATTTATTAGAATGAAACAGTTTAACATTTCTTATTAGATTTAAATGATTGTTTAACTGAGTTCAGTTCGCCATGTAAACTGTAAAATATCTGTACCGCAAAAATGCATTGGTAAGATGTGAACTTAACCAGTAAAACTATATCAAAGAAACGTAACATTAGTCACTATCTAATCAATTTTAAAGAGGTTAAAAATATCCTTTCTTAACTAAATTCACTTAGTATTGTTTGTTTGAATCTTCCTATCGATATGTTAGGACTGCAACTGACCAGTTTCTAATTGGCATCTGTGCATACTGTGCGTATTGCCTCGATATAGCCTAAATTCACAAGCATGGTAAGCAAAGATGTATAGTGGCTAACAGTGGAAACCAGGACGTGCGTTTCATCCTATTTGGCACTCGTCAGATGAATGTACCTGCATCTCAGATTTGACATTCACTCTGGGACTCGAACCCAGTACCTTTCGTCTCAAACGCCATCGCGTTATCCACTCAGCTACTGAGGCCTGATAGCCACTTGCTTGTGGAATGGGGTGAAGTTTAAATCTTTCCTTAACTGTTTTACTTTAAGACATAATGAGAATACTTTCATCAGTAAAATAAATTTTAATTACCTTCACCATTAATGAAATCATTACTTTTTTCCGTTCTATGAACTAATACAACTGGTATATTTGATTTATCATTATAATTGAATGGCATAGTTTGTTGTATTACATTATTATTATCATTATTATTGGCACCTTGATTAATTTGTTTCAATTGATTGTCGCCGTTGTGATGGTGATCATCGTGGGAGGCGGGCCAATTAACTTTCAAATGATCGAATTGTTTTGTTTGTAATTCATTTTCTTTTTTATTATTAACTAGTTTATTATTCACCAGATCTAACTTTGATTCCGATTTGGATGATAATGCTGTAGTAGAAATAGCAGGTCTAATGAAAACAGGATCATTATCATTTTCATCCTTATCGAGAAAAAGGAGAAATGTAAAAGGAAAAAAATGTAAATAATAAATCATTAAATATAGTACATAAGTATATCAACAAAACATCATCCCATAGATTATTAATCATACCGAATCAATGTACTTGACCTCATTATACATCATAATGATGAAAGAAGTTTAAATCCCTAAAGGAGTTCCAGTTTCCTTCAAGATTAAGAGTATAGTAGAAGGGGTTTTGTGGAGATTTTAGTAATGGTTGAGTGCTCTGGCGCAAGACAGATAGGTTCTGGGTTCGAATCTCATGTGTGCGGGGTCGTGGCTGCGCACTGCCTAAGAGCATATATTTCTTTATTACACAGAATTATTGCTAAACAAAATACCTACACCAGGTACTAGGGTATTTATCGTCAGTACTGTTTATTTGTGATCCAGATTGTTACTACTTACGTCATTCAATTCAGAAACATACTATCCCTATACGCTTGCTCAATCGGTTTTTTAAGTGAAAAGACTTAGAAGCAACTACGAAGTTGTCATTCGTAAGGTATAGAACTAAGTTAATAAGTCATTGGCGTACATACAGTGGTCCTTCCTTTTCAGACAGGGACATATAAGCCTAGATGTCGAACAAGTGTATAAACAACTTCCTCTCATAACGTGCTTCATTTAAAATATTTGACCAATAGTTTGACTTTGACAAGGAGTGTGAGTATCGCGACATGATATTTCTGTACTCAACCAGCTTATCGTAAATTAAAATGTCTCTAGTTTTATTCAAATTTGAAATTAAAAACTCTAGTCACCATCTTAGTGACGTTACTATTGTTAGATCATTTTTCAATGTGAATCAAAGTGGAAATCATGTCTTCAATTGTAATGGTGAAGATAATCAACCATACAGGAATGAAAAGTGAGAAATGATTGGAACAAAAAACAAAATAACATTTTAAGCAAAGATGGATAGTGGCTAGTAGTGGAATCCACGACGCGCGTTTCGTCTTATTTAGGACGCGTCAGCCGGATGTACCTGCATCTCAGAGTTTATGTTCACTCTGGGACTCGAACCCAGTGACTTCCGCTTCAAACGTCATCACGTTATCCACTTAGGCACTGAGTGCTGATAGCCAGTTGCTTGTGCGATGGGGTGAAGTTTAGATTCACTTAGTATTATTTGTTCAAATCTTCCCATTGACGTTTAAGACTGCAATTGATTAGTCTCTTATACTGTGTGTATCGCCTCGATATAGCCCTAATTCTAATAATACTAATTGAATTTAAACTTCACGCCATTGCACAAGCAAGTGGCTATCAGGACTCAGTAGCTGATTGGATAATGCGATGGCGTTTGAAGGGGAAGGTACTAGGTTCGAGTCTGGTAGTGAACATCAACTCTAAGATGTAGGTACATCCAGCTGACGAGTCCCAAATAGCACGAAACGCGCCTTTCGAGACAGTACAGTTTGTAGTTCAGAATGTTTGAGCTGATTTCAAATTCGGATGTGAAGTTATTCATCTGTTTCGCAGTGTTCAGTAAGTGTACAATATTCAGTATTTTCCGACATTTTGCCATTCATTAAGTAGGTAATTGTTATATATGGAAGTTGAATGCGTGAGTCAATTGAAGCTTGACCACCATCGAAAACCTGGAAACACTGGATGGCCGTTTAATCCTATTATGGGACTCGTCAGCAGTGCGCATCCACGGTCCCGCACCCGCGAGACTCGAACTCAAGACCTGCAGTCTCGAGCAAGAGCCCTTAACCGATAGTCCACTGAGCTGGCATCCGATGGTGTCAATGTCTAACCTCAACCAATCCACGAAATTACGCAACCAACTTCCATTGTACTGAGGTAGATAACTGTCTCTACCTGACATGAATTAACTCCACTGGTCACGACTTTTCAGTAGAACTCCAGAAATTACCTCATGGAGCCAGTCACTAGTGAGCACATGATTATTATCAAAAGGGGGTTCCGTGGAGATTTTAGTAATTTTATATAGTTGAGATCATGAGTCAATTGAAGCTAGACCACCATGAAAAATCTGGATGCACTGGATGGCCGTTTCGTGCTATTATGGGACTCCTCAGAAGTGCGCATCCACGATCCCGCGTCACGAGATTCAAACCCAGGACGTACCAGTCTCGCGCCGTAGCACTTAACCGATAGACCACTGAGATGGCCGGAATCCATAGGTGTTAATGTCTAACTTCAACCAATACACGAAATTGAGCAGTCATTCACCAATGTCTTCAGTGAGTTTATATCTCCCAACAGACCTGGTTGAACTCCTATGAATACTACTTCAAAGATTTTATCAATTTTTTTCATGGAATCCGCATCAATTCAATAAAACAAAATGAAATAATAATTACGATAAAATATTTGTTTTACGATTCATGAGAATCTTCTATAAATTTAATAGATATAAAAAATATCGCAGATGTTCCACAATTATCCATGAATTATGTCATAAATTTTTGTATAAATCTATCAGTTTTATTAAACAAAAAAAATTTGGCGGTATATTAGAAATTACGCATTACATGTTTTATATGTATATTACATCTGTTTTTCAGTAAACTTGAACAAATTATCCTTATCATTTTCGTGTTGGTTACACACTTTGGATTTGTTTGTTCCTTGCTTTGTTTTGTTTTGAATAGTTAGTTTATGATGAATCATATCTGTATCTTTTGATAATGTAATAACAAGACTTATTATAAGAAGACATCTTATTGCATTATCATCGCCGGTTCAGTGGTCTATCGGTTTATTTGCTCCGGCACGAAGCTGGTAGGTCTTGGGTTCGCATTTCGTGGGTGCGGGATCATGGATGCGCACTGTTTAGGAGTCCCATAATAGGACGAAACGGCCGTCCAGTGCTTCCAGATTTTCCATGGTGGTCTAGCTTCAATTGCCTCATGATTTCAACTATGAAAAAATTATCGAAATTTATCAAAGGGACTAATTGTTTTACATATCTGTATCATTATATTTCAATTGAATTCTATTTATTGATTTGTTGAAACCCATTTTTTGACCATCTATTTCATGGTTACTGTTATATCTTTAACTTAGATTCTTAGTATGTCGCGTGATACTTGAGCACTCGAACGCTAGAACCCTCCGAAGTCGCAAAATGAGAAGACAGAGGACTAGTAAGTAAGAATGTTATTCCAATCAGTGTGAAGTATAGTAGGAAAATCTCATGTACTTATAGTGTTTTGGCTAAAAGTATATCATCGTTTTGGACAGCCAATAGGCACATAAGGGGGCCTTCTTATTCATTCAATAGAGAAGCTACACGTCGACATTCTAGAATGTTCCTTTAACGTTGATTGGATGGAATGTCTTCGGCTATTGCTGGGCTTCTCGAAACTTCCTTGAATTTACCAACGAGCCACTCTAAGAGTTATAATTATAGGTTTCAAAAGTTTTCATTCAACTATGTCACATAATCCATATATGATGATGTTGTTCTTTTTGTTGTTGTTGTGAGGTTAATAGTTTAATTATGAAGCTTTGATTATCATTTTAGATAATATTGCCAGTGGTTACTACTTTAAATAGAATTATGTTGCGTAGATACCTATTTCCTTTGGAATGTGTCTAGGGGAAATAGTCCATGACTGAATAGTGGACAAACACAAATATGAACAACGACATAAAATATGAGAGATTATCTTGTGCTCAAACTTTATTCGATTTGATTCCTGCTTTGATTTTACTTGTTGACTCGTTTGTACTCATTGTAATATATTCTTGTTCTGGTAATTACCACATTCTCGATCGTTGGTCGCATACCTGAACGACTGTATATTTCACATGATTAGTTATCGTGATCTACTGATCCAGTGTTAATATCTAGTGTGTAATGTTTAATCCAGATAGTCTGAATAAGACAAGTCTTCTTCCGTTATAAACATATACGGCAAATCAGTTTGCTTTTGAAAAAACATCTGATACTTACAGTATTTATCATTTCATTCAGAATCTTCGTATCTTATAGATTATATATTTCATATAGAAGCGAATCATATAGACGAGTTAACGACTTTATATATTGATGAATTAGATATGATTTAGAACATTCTATGCTTTATGTTTATTGGTTACTGACTTCAAACTTGATGGGAGGTAATATTATAGTGAATGAAAACACGGATGAGGACACTGGAATGTACAAAATTACAGACTATCTCATTAAAATCAGACAACAATACAGTAAACAGGTAATTTGCAAACTATCAATTGTCTCAATCCTGACCGTTACTTCTGCAAATATCAGTCTATAGTCTTCGATTATTATTGTACATGAATTTTCATATCAATTGCGTTCCGCTACGGTCCTTTCCTCACCAATCTTCTACTGAAATGCATTCAATACCTGACCATCTTTATATATACTACTTATATGAATATAAGTAACCCACAACACAATATTCGTAAGCAGTAACTATATTTCAGAAGAAATTTATTCCGTCCCGAATTTCATGGACGTAAGTACTATCTTGATTAACATCTTAAGAGCAATGAATATAGAAGATTACTAATCGTGATATTATTATTATTATTACTGACATGGAATATTATTATTTAATAAGAAGGGATGAATGAATGAACTCTGTTATTTTGATGAAATTACGTTGTTCAGTAATCAAGATCAAAAGACACTAATGATCTGTAATTTCGAATATTATGCAAGCAAGTACGGCAGTTTACTGGCTACCCACAGATGAATAAATAATCAGTCGTTATTACAAATCTATCATTTCATCCCTTTATACAAGAATGTTATTTCACTAATCTATTTTATTTAGATCTGTTTAGAATCGTTCTATGATTTAGATAGACATATGAAAGGGTACTATGTGCGTATCTATTTCAGATTGTATATGTAGACTAACTCAAAGAAAGTGATAATCTGTGAGAAAATAAATACGCACAGTATGCACATATGCCAATAAGAGACTGATCAGTTACATTCCTAAACATCAATGAGAAGATTCAAACAAACAATACAAAGTGAATTCACACTTCACCCCATTGCACAAGCAAGTGGCTGACTATCAGGACTCAGTAGCTAAATGGATAACGTGATGGCGTTTGAAGCGAAAGGTACTGGGTTTAAGTCTCAGAGTGAACATCAACTCTGAGATGCTGATACATCCAACTAAAGAGTTCCAAATAGGACGAAACGCGCATCGTGGATTTCACAGCTAGCCACTATCCATCTTCGCTTACTATTAGTTATCGTTAACATATTTTGAATGGATGAAAGGTGACAGCATTAAATTGTTGAATAAAGAAATCACTGATTCTTGAATCGATATATCTCAGGTATAGATTTCAGTTTCATTAAGTTTATTTAAAACAAATGATTTACGATGGATTTTGACAAATCGATCAAAATAGGTTACCTTGGTTAGTGTTATGTTAAAGTAACCGAACCCAAATGTCGTAGTAAAAGTTTTTAAATATGACGAAAAGACGCCTGGTTGAAAGATTCACGTATCTGTCCATACACGAACGGTGAGCTAATGTGTGTACACTGTATACTTATATATGAATACACAGTTATAAAACTGGACTTTACTGAAAGTATTCCATTCGCACTCACATGTATTTACGTTAGGATGGTTTTTTTCACTTTTATGTTGCTATAGGAACATGAATTCAACTTTAATTTATTCAGTGTGACATGATTATCATATCCTTTCACATTGGTATGAGATACTTTATGGTTAAACGTTTCATTTTTTGTGTAAGTACGTTAGATTAACAACTCCATGTTTATTTGACTTGTTTAATTTAAAAACAGTAGAAACTATGTGTACTCATCGGGTATTGTTTATCTAGAGTTTTGTGACATTTTATCTAGGGTAATATCTTTAATATTATTAAAAAATTAAGCCCCCAAATATCTTGGTAAGGCCGAGAGTAGGGAGAGTATGCTCTCCCTCTCGAAATGCTCTCACATCGACACGCGTACATAGCCTCTGTCAGGGAAGTCCTACTCACTGCCTTCTCGTGTCATTACTGTTGTTTACGAAATTGAGGGGATGAAAAACGAATGTCCGGCGATTTAACCGGGTTGGTGAACACGGCGAGTCCATCTAGAGGAGTTGGAAAACCTTGATACCAAACTAATGGTGCACATGAGCTCCAGTACCCTAAGGGAAGATATGGCGTATGAGTCAATCGTTGGTCACCGGCCACCTTTGGGAATGCATCTCCTCACAATGCTTCACTGCCTTGTGGATCAGATCTTAAGGTCAAAGGCTTCGGGTGTGGCTCCCTAAGAAAACCACCCGTTTCACTTTAGGCATCCGGGCAGTATACCAGCCCTCACACAAATGAAATGAGATTTGTGTGGCACATATATATCTGGTTCCCCTTTGTACCAACATCTATATGTTTAAATAAATAAATAAATTGAAAAGTTTTGTGATTATAAAGCATTAAATAACCATGTCTTACTCAAAATAAAATTCAGTTAATGGCTTGATGTGCTTAATCAAGATTCAATCGAGTTAATATGAGTATCCAATGTGTACTTTTAAGTAAAACATAAATATTTCAATCCTTCTATGAGTCAAATAGGAATATCATAGACATTTATATATTCAGCTATAGCCCTGACAATTAATTTTAGATTAGTTTTTTGTTTGAAATAGATAACAATAAGCAATCATGGAACTTTAGGAAACCATTTTCTGATGAATCCGTACTCAACAGATTTGGAATGGTAGATTCTTACAAGAGGCCATCGACCATTGAATAAACAGTAACTGGAGTTCTGATTTTATGTAATTTGTATTAAGGATAGTGTTTAATTAAACTGTAAAGAACTGACTAACATTTTCACTTTAGAATATTTTTATTTATTATTTATATAAACATATAAATATTGGTACAAGGAGGCATCAGATATATATGCGCCACACAAATCTCATTTGATTTATATGAGGGCTGTGATACTGACCAGGTGCCCAAACTGAAGCAGGTGGTTATCTTTGGGGGCCATCGACCTCAAGGTCTGATCTACAGGGCAGAGGGGTATCGTAAGGAGATCCAGTCCCGTTGAAGCCGGTGACCAACGATGGATTCATACGTCGTTTGTTTCCTCAGGATACTGGAGCCCACGTGCACCATTGGTTTGGAATCAGAGTTTTCCAAATGCCCTGGGTGGACTTTCCGTGACCACTGAACCGGTCAAAGCTCCGAACATTCGCTTTTCGTTCTCTCAATTTTGTAAACAACACCGGTGCTACGAGAAGGCAGTGAATAAGACTTCTCTGGTATAGGCTATATGTATTCTGCTTTAGAATAAGACTTATCTAACAGTAAAAATCTTCAACTTCACTAGTAATCTATCCCAGAACAGTCAATTGCAGGCTAGGAAATACAACATTCCAGACTTTCCATGTCATTAAAGTTTTATATTTTATTTTATTTGAAATATATCTCATGTCCTTATTCGTAATCTTTATACAAAGTATCGGATACTTGAGTATGAAACGGTTACATTTTGTATCTATGATTGTTGTGATATATATATAACCTTACTTCTTAATAAACTGTTGGGGATGTTAAATCCCCAGAACGTACTCGGGAAATTACTTTTTTTTGTAATTTTATTTTGAAAATTTGAATTTCCTTCTTTACGAGTCAAAAGCGCTTCTTTCATCTTCAAGTCGTATTTCTCACTTGGAAATATCTTGAACGCTATTGGTCCGTTTTATCTTTTTAGTGTTCTCTTTTGTAATGCTTCCCGAGGACAACTTTACACTGTATAAATACGTTTGATTTCTTCCTATTGTGATTGCTTACGGACTATATTTTCCCCTACTTCGTCTTGGACTTCTCACTCTAGTTAGTGAGGCCTAGGACAACGGATTAGATTAGCCTATCATGTCACTATGTCATTGACCTTCATTCGTTTTTACCAAGAAATCATAATTAGCATCAAGTATATCATAAACCAATACATATACTTACATCTACAATCACCGTCACTGTAGCTGTTGATGTTTGTGATGTCATAGTGGATGGATTACCATCATAAGCAATGATATTAAATACATAAATATTTTGTTTTTCACGATCTAATGAAATAGATGTTCTTAAATAACCATTAGTTGAATGTAAATTAAATGTACGACGTATAATCAATGGTGAATCATTTGATATCCTTAATGTAATATATGATAAAGATGATGAAATGAATGGTGTTTTAGAAGGATTAAATATTTTATTTGTCATTGCTTTACTTTCAATATCTAAATCAATTGCCATAATTCGTCCAATTAACCAATAGGCTGGTTTATTCTCTTTCACATGAAATATATAGTTATTCACAAAATGAAGTTCATCTTCACGATGATGATGATGATCATCATCATCATCAACAGTCAGATTTTCACTTTTAAATCGATTATTCAAATATTGTTGTTTACTCTTAATACTACTACTACTAGTATTAGTAGTATCTGTATTATTCAAATTAGTTTGATTTGTTAATATAAATAATGGTGGCCAATCATTTACATCAGTAATTTTGATTTCAACTATTGCTGTTCCACTATGTCGAATCGACGTTAATTGATTTGGTTGATCTAAAGCAAAAACATTAAAACGAAACATGTCAACATTTTCACCATCAAATTTTTTGAGTGCATAAAGTATACCAGTATGTGAATCAATACGAAATAATTGATCAACTCTGACTAGTTCATGATTATGTTCATTGTTACCATGGTTATTATTATGATTGTTGTTGTTTTCATTATGATAAATGAATAAATTCTTATCTTCTATTCTTGTTTGTTTATTAATCAATAAATAAGCTGATGGTAGAACTGAACTAACTGATGATCGTATCTCTAAAAAATATTCATCTAAATAATATTCAATACGTGCATTATCACCTTGATCATTATCTTCAGCTAATACACGACCTATACGATATTCATAATGATCTTCTATTCCATCAGATTTATATTCTTTTCGTTCATCTAGAATTCCTTTTATTGTAGATGATTGATTTGTTATATAAGCATCACTTGATTTATTTAATCGATAATATCCGATTGGTTTTAATTGTTTATCACTATTCTCTGGTAAATTAAATCGATATATTGATTTTTGAAATTTTGGTTGTTCATCATTTATATCTAATATACGTAAACGAATAGTTTGTTCATTAAAATTAGATGCTTGATCAATACATTTGATACGTAGAAAATATAAAGGATTTTTTTCACGATCTGGTTTAGTCATTAAATTTAATATATAATCAGTTTTTGAAGTTGAAGTTGATTGGGATATTGATAGGGATGATTGTAATTGTAAGGGATCATTGATTTCATTGTTTTGATAATGAAATTGATTTAATGAATTGGTTGGTTTTAATGAAAAGTTTACATTATCGGTTAGAATACAATTAACTTGATCATTTCCATCGAAATCAAGATCCCGAACTTGTACATAGGCTAGTTGAATTGGGGGTTGAACATTTTCTTTGATAACTCCTAGAGTGATAAAAAATAAGGTTAACGGACTAAGTATTTGACTTTTTAAGCTTGAATCGACTTTAATTAATTGAAATAATACGGTGCAATAATGTGTCAAGTAGTATAAAACAATGAAGATAGTTTGACTTTAACCATCTGTGATTGAATAATAGTATAATTACTATGAAATCAGTATCTGTAGTGATCTTGCACACTTGAAACAAAAAGAGTGTTGTGGTAAAAGGTTGGATCTAAAAGTAGTACGCCTCAACTTGTCACGTTGATTTCAGTCTCATTTAGTAAGACTTTTCAATTCAAAGTTAATATATTAAGAAATAATCAGTAGAAGCCCGTATATAATCTGCTTCATACAAGTGTCCCGTGAGCTTGCGGTTCACCACCCCAGGTCATCGAAACCATTTCAAAATTAGTTTCCCTTTCAGGTAATTCAAGAAGTATCCTTCAATTGATTAGGCAACTTAAAAGTGACAACTGTCCTTATACTTGTAACAGCATTCAGGATCAGTTTATTTACTAGCAAGTGTCTCTTTTACATGAAACATAAATGAACAAGATATACACTGAAGAAATCTCTGAAACTTACAACGAAATCTAATGAAGTTACTCTGTTTTTTCTGAGTATATATAATAACAACTACTTAAAGGAAGTAATCTTTTCATTGAATTTGATTTGATTAATAAATAAATAATTAATGTCAGAAAGGGTTTTGTGGAGATTTCAGTATTTTAATAGTTGAAACCATGAGTCGATTGAAGCTAGACCACCATGGAAAACCTGGAAGCACTGGACGGCCGTTTCATCCTATTGTGGGACTCCTCAATAGTGTGCATCCACGATCCTGACTCATGGGATTTGAACCCAGGACCTACAAGTCTTGCGCCAGCTCGCGCTGGCTCAGTGGTTTATCGGTTAAGTGCTCACGCATGAGATTGGTAGGTCCTGAGTTCGAATCTCGCGAGGAGGGATCGTGGATGCTCACTGCTGAGGAGTCCCATAATAGGACGAAACGGCCGTCCAGTGCTTCTAGGTTTTCTATGGTAGCCTAGCTACAATTGACTCATGATTTCGACTATGTAAAAAGAGTAATTCATGGTTGCATTTGTGGGAAGTACCCTGATAAAAGTGTAGGAAAAGAAACAACCTATATAGTATTGTATACATTATTCTTTACTTATTCAATCTCAACAAATTATTAAAAATTGAATATATATAGTATTGTATTAGGTGATTGAAATATTACTTCCAGGAGGTCAGTTGTGATCAGTGGCAATGTCTTTGACTGCAGCCCTGGATAACGGGGAATCAGTCCACTTTTATCTAATCCCGAAATTGGGCATTAAGTACAATCTTTGGTAATAAAGAATAGTATTAATTGCTAACTTAAACGTAAACGAGAAAATAAGTTTACAACTATTTTGTATAGACAGTTAACATCGTGGAAAACTACAAACACCATACAAGAAAAATAATCAGTCTTTGAGTTTTGCTTAGGAAATATTAGTGAAGGGAGATGAGAATCGATGATAGTTAGTTGTTAGCTTTGAACATAGTAAACTTTGTGTGCATAGCGAGTCGATTAACATTAAGTATCATCGCTTGATTTTAATAACGTATACAGATTCGGTGTAATAATATCCGATTTATCAAGTTGAGAGTTAATTTGCTCACTAATAAATTATTTGAGGTTAAAAAGGAAATATTATCATTGTGAAGTGAGACAAAGTATAAGGCTATTGAATTCTTTTACCAATGCATATCTTGACCTTATATGGGATCTGATTGAAGATCCAAACGATATGCGTTTTTACTGGTTGACTTGGAATTTATGGATTTACACCTGTAAACGTCATTTATTTTAGCAAAACAGAACAGCTATCATTCAACTAAACTGGAGAGCTAACGTTTCACCATTTTTTTTAACTAGTTACATGAGCCATAGATTTCCACTAAAATGTAGAGTACCTATCTCGCATTCCGTAGTAGGTGGGCAGCTGCGTAGTTATCTGATGTGCTCCTTGTAAAAATGAAGATTTCATACCTGGACCTGTACACAAGATTATGGATGAGTATTTTCAAATCCCAAAAATGAGTTCATTTACCAGTTAACTGGATAATTTTAATTAAGAATGTAAACAGTGAAATATGATCACACTAGAGAAGGAAGCTTGAAAAACGTGAGAAATTACCATATAGTCTATAAAGTTTCTGTTCTGATTCAATTTTGCGTCATCAGTAACTTATGCGTTAGATGACTGAAGGTTGTCTGCAGGAATCTCAAGACCTACATTTTGTTCTAGTTAATTGTAGTCAACATGTCGCACCTAAAGTGTTAAGAGAACTAGTGCTTCCTGGTAGAATTAAGCACAGATCACACAATTTCACAGTCTGAGACGTTATCAGCCAGATATTTCAGCCGTATATGACCTTCTTTAAGACAAATATTTACTTTTATTAACCAGTGAGAATTTGAGAATCTCATCTTGGTTCGAATCCACCGAAATGTCTTATTCCCTTTAGGATGCATGTACGTATGGAGGTCGAATGCCAATTAAGAAATCTGGAGTGATACATGGTTTTCTGATCATTACCTACAACCACCTAGCATCAAAGGAGTGAGTTAAATTAGGGACCATATTACTTTTTAACCTATGGAATTCAGCCAGCAACAAAGACTAGACAAAAAATACATTAAATTTATTTAGTATTGTTTGTTTGAATCTTCCCATTGATGTGTTAGGATGGCAGCTGATCAGTCTCTAATTGGCATATGTGCATACTGTCCGTATTGCCTCGATATAGCCTTAATTCACAAGCATTATAAACAAAGATGGATAGTGGCTAGCAGTGGATAACACGATGGTGTTTGAAGCAGAAGGTACTGGGTTCGAGTCCCAGAGTGAACATCAACACTGATATGCAGGTACATCCACCTGACGAGTCCCAAATAGGATGAAACACGCATCAAACTGGATTCCACTGCTAGTCACTATCCATCTTTGCTTAGCATGCTTGTGAAAAAATACATTAGTCACTAAGTAGTAACCAGACAATTATAACTTGTTTACATCATACTCATCTAAATCAATCAAACCTTATGATCTACCTGTTTCACCATAACTTGTCATTTCTGTTGTACCGAGAAATTTAACAGTTATAATTGGAGCTTCATCATTTTCATCCATTACAGGAATAATAACTAAAGCAGTACTAGTTAGTTCATATGGTTGTGGTGCAGAATCAACAGCTTTCACTTGAAATATAAATTGTTTTTTATATTTTTCTTTTGTATTCATATCTATATCATTATTGTTATTATCATTTAGTGCATATGGTGTTGTTTGTGTTGGTCTATTAAACAATAATGAATTCAATAATAATTGATTATCGGTTAAACTTGTTTCCATAGTTTCATAATCTAACCAACGTTTTAATATAATTAAACCATTTGATTGCACATTAAAATAATTCATAGCTAATGTTCCAGGAATCATTTTATAATGTATACGATTATTCATTTTTGAAACATCTTGATCTGTTGCTGTTAAATTAATGATAATTGTACCAGGTAATGTCTTCTCAGAAATACCTTTATTTGGTGGATAGAATATAGGTTGATCAAATATGGGTGAATGATCATTTACATCAATAATATTGATTTTAATGTAAGCTGTACCAGTTCGTTGAGGTTGACCATTATCTATAGCTAATAAATAAAATTCATAATATTGTTTTAATTCATAATCTAAATTCATCGTTGAAACTAATTCTAATGGTCCATTAGGTATATCTTCTAAAATAAATGGAATATCATCATTTGGATCATTACTTGGTTGTTTAGGATCATGATCATTTCTGTAATTTATTGATTTCTTAATTGATTGAAGATGATATGTCAATTGGCTATTGATTCCTTCATCAGGATCATAAGCACGTGGTAAACTAATTCGTGATAGTTGATATCGTTGTTTTACCCTGGAATGATCTTCTGCTTCATGTATATTATTTGGTATCTCTGATATTTGTACAATAATATTTGGTATTTTATCATTATTAATAGTAGTATAATTATGTTGATGATGATTATTATTACCATTATCATTGATTCCATTATTAATCGATATCCATATTGGATTATTATCATTAATATCGATAATCAATAAATCGATTGGTATTTTTTTCACATTCACTTCATTGATTTCTAATATTTGTATTGTTGATAAAATATTTAAGGCCTTAATACATTTTTTATTTAGATTACTTGATATCATATTCATAGGATTAGTAAAATAACCTAAATTATTTAAATATTTATTCATATTTAATGTATTGTGTAAGAAAATTGGTGGACGACCATTTAATGATAATTGTGAACTGCTACCATGACTACTATCAATCATTATATCATTATTGATATGATGATTGTTAATCAATTTATTACCGCTACATATTGATTCACGATCAATACGTTTTTGTATTGTTAATTGACCATTCAGAGGATTTAAATGTAATGCATTTGTTAAAGGATCATGGATATCAAGTAATTGAAAATTGAACTGGAACTTATCATTACTAAAGAAGTTATCATTATTATTGACATCCATTTTGATATTATTCGTGGTAAGAAACTGTTGTAAATGAACTGAAATATATTGATGTAAATATTTAGATACACCAATAATCTCTGTACCATTTGGAGATTCTTCTATTAGACGGAATAAATTTAATTGATCTTGTTCTGTTGTCGAAGAAGACGATGAAGAAGAAGAAGAAGAAACAGGTGATGGTGGAAGATGAAGTGAATGAGAAGAATCATATCCAGATGGAAGATAAACTGTGGCATTAGATTGATGCATAGCAACAACATTACAAATATAAATATAATTATAGAAAAATAGTTTGAATAATAAGTATGGTGATTTTTTACAAATAAATGACATTGTTTCCCGTTTTCAGCTGATTAAAACAACCATGATATTGGCGATTTCTGAAAAACAACAGAAATGTATAACATAAACTATTGAAATTCATTAATTCTGACAAATGGATGAATTTAAAACGACTTCTATTATTCACATACTATTGTTTGTTTGAATCTTCCCATTGATGTTTTAGGACTGCAACTGGATGAAACGCGCGACCTGGATTCCACTGCTATCCACTACCCACTTTTGTTTGTAATGCTCGTGAATTTAAGGCTAAATCGAGGAAATACGCACAGTATGCACGTATGTCAATTAGAGACTGACCAGTTGCAGTCCTAACACATCGATGGGAAGATTCAAACAAACAATACTAAGTGAATTTAAACTTCACCCATTTGCACAAGCAAGTAGCTATCAGGACTCAGTAGCTGAGTGGATATAGTGATGGCGTTTGAAGCGAACGGTACTAGGTTGGAGCCCCAGAGTGAACATTAACTCTGAGATATAGGTACATCCATCTGATGAGTCCCAAATAGGACGAAACGTGCGTCGTGGACTCCAATGCTAGCCACTATCAATCCTTGACCTCTATTATGTTGAAGGATAGAAATTTGATTGGTTAAATAAACAATAGTTATAAATAATTTTAAATGGACACTAACGATAGATTCTACAAGGCACTAGCAAAACTAATAATTGTTAATTTCCTCAAAGGCATTAAAAATGTGTCATTGAAGTGGTTGCTTTCGCAAATTTATGGAAATTCAGGTAACCGTATAGTGTATGGGGGATGAGTCAATGGGGTTGCTGGGATCCTCCTTTGAGTGTTTTGTGAAAAATCCAAAAGTGAATGACTTTTTTGCACTATATAAAATGAGAAGCAAAAATATCTTTGTATAGCGTTTAGAATATTAGTAATCTTAACGAAAGATTAATTTTTGTCATCATATAGTAAAGATGAGTAATTTACACATATCAAGACCCCAAAGGCCTTGGTACGGCCGACAGTGGGGAGAGTACGCTCCCTTTCTCCAAATTCTCTCACACGGCCACGCGTATATAGCCTCTTCCAGGACAGTCCTACTCACTGCATTCTTGCATCACGGGTGTTGTTGAGAGAACAAAAAGCCAATATTCGGCACTTTAACCGGTTTGATGGACACGGCGCATCCACCTAGGGCAGTTGGAAAACCCTGATTCCAAACCAATAGTGCACATGAGCTGGCTCCAGTATCCTGAAGGAACAAATGGTGTATGAACCAACTATTGATCACCGGCTATCATGGGACTGCATCTCCTCACGATGCTCCACTACCTTGTAGATCAGAACTTCAGGTCAAAGGCTCCGGGTGTGGCCCTCTAAGATAACCACCTGTTTCGGTTTGGGCACCTGGTCAGTATCACAGCCCTCACACAAATTAAATGAGATTTGTTTCGCGCATATATATCTGGTTCACCTTTATACCAATATTTATGTGTTTAAACAAATAAATAAATAAATGACTGATTTCTGTCAACTTTATGACCGCTATTGATCAAGTGTGAAAGAAACGAGCTCCTTATCGACTTGACAACACCTTTTCCTAACCACGAAGGGAGGTGTTCACTAACTCTTTGGTTCAGTTGTCTGGTAATGCGCCCAATATAGCTTTCTCCACAGGAGCAGCTGAATTCATGGATACACATAGAAGTGACATAACCAGACAACTTATAAATAATAAACACGAATCAATTATTCAATTATTTCTACATTTAAATTGTATGCAACATCCAACTTGAAAAACGGATCTTCTGTAGCCATACAGATATTTTTATCAAAATCATTACAAATTAAATTTGAATAATTGTCAACATCAGTAAACGTCTTCAGATATCCAAAATATACATAATAGTGTCAGTGATAACCATCATTATCTCATTCTGAAGTAAATAAATACTAATTTTATTGCTGCTTTGTTTATTATAAAAAAACCATATTTTTTTAGATTTTTTCAAAGGAAAATTATGTTGCTGGGTAGAGATTTCAAAAAACGTTTTTCACTTGGTAACTAATTAAATGACAAAGTCAATATTTAACCACATGGTAATAATAATGTGGAAAAACACACACACACAAAAACAACTCATCCTTATAAGAAAAAAGAAGGAGAACGGAAGAAAGTGCTTATCTTGTAATTAATTTTTTAACGGTAAGATTATGAAACAGGTGTTCAATAAGTTCTGTCTCTACCATTAACCAAATGGTCATTTCACTAAATACAAACAAATGAGTTATTTTAATTAATATAAATAATTTATCATAGTTAAATAAATGTAGGCAGTGAAATCTAGGAGGTTCATTGAATCTTATTTAGGAGTTCATCATCTAGATATACCTGAATCTCAGTGTTAATATTAAAGGATCTAGTTCTTCTGTTACTATTTAATATATAATGAAATGTATTGACTGGATTTCAATGCAAGTCATATATCAAATAGCTCTAAAACTTATAACATAAAATCAAAAATCAAGCAATCTACTCAGAATATAATTACCGAAACAGAAGATGATCGATTCTAGTCTTAAATATCAAAAATTGAAACTTACAAACAATAACTAATAACTTCACAAGTTAGTGACTAACTAGACTCACTGGTTATGTGGTTAACTAGGGCATTTGAAGTTAAAGTATTGATTTCAAGTCTCAGTAAAATCAATAACACTGAGAATCAAATACATTCAATTGATAAGTCTAAGACAAAACGAAACTGAAGTCATAGATTCCGCTACTATTTACATACCAAATAATCAAACATTTAATAGACTAAATTCACTTAGGATTGTTTGTTTGATTCTTCCCATTGATGTTTTTGGATTGCGACTGGTCAGTTTCTTATTGGCATATGTGCATACTGTGCGTATTGCTTCGATACAGCCTAAATTCACAAGCATGGTAAGCAAAAGTGGGTAGTGGCTAGCAGTGGAGTCCACGACTCACGTTTCATCCTATTTGGGACTCATCAGATGAATGTACCTGCATCTCAGAGTTGATGTTCACTCTGGGAATCGAACCAAGTACCACGCGCTTCAAACGCCATCGCGTTATCCACTCAGCTACTGAGTCCTGATAGCCACTTTCTTGTGCAAATGGGTGAAGTTTGAATTCACTTACTATTGTTTGTTTGAATCTTCCCATTGATGTGATGCAGTTACATCCATCTGACGAGTCCCAAATAAGATGAAACGCGCGTCCAGGGTTCCACTGCTACCCATTATCCACATTTATTTAACATACTATTTGGAATTTCTAATGATCCGAGTAAGAGTTATTATTATTACTATATAACTTCAGCTCTACAATTCGACATTAAAATAAACAACCACAGAAAAGAATTTTCTTTAAAATATGATATAAGTCTTAGATATAATCTGTGGTTTCTTAAAAAAATGTCACATATTTGTTTATTTACTCTCCAGGTGATGTACGCCAAGCCATTATTATTAGATGAATTAACGCTTTTCGTTGTTAATTTGAACACTAAATAAAAAACAGCTGTGATGCAAATCATTTTTCCCACAGAAAATATTAACTGATCATTATATACAATGAAGATACTGTAGATTAATTATTCATAATGCTTATAACAATATTGACTTTATATGGTAACCTGTAGGAGTTGTCAACGTTGTGAAATAAATCTCAGAAAGCAAAGATGAATAGTGGCTATCAGTGGAATCCAGTTTGACGCGCGTTTCGTCCCATTTGGGAGTCGTCAGATGGATGTATTTGCATTTCAGAGTTGATGTTCACTCTGAGACTCGAACCCAGTACCCTTGCCTCAGACGCCATCGCGTTATCCACTAGGCAACTGAGTCCTGATAGCCACTTGCTTGTGCGATGGGGTGAAGATTCAAACAAACAATACTAAATGAATGTAATACTAAGTGAATTTAAATCTCAGAAAGTCTTACGCGTAATTGATCTCTGAGAAGAATTCTCTTATAAAAAAATAGAATTTGTTAAGATTCTTTGAGAACTCTTTAGAAACGTTCACGAAAAGTGGCAGAAAAGTGAAATACTTCATTCAATCAACACTCAATAGAAACATTCAAGTGTTCTAGAAAAACGGTGAATTACGTTACCTTACACTAATGGATAACTATTAATTTTAACATGTTTCCAGGAGCTCGTAAACTATCCTAGATCACTCATGAACTTATGAATGTTATTCTAGTTCTACGTAGACAGAACAAGCTACTATGAGATAGGGAGAATTCTACTAGTTTACTTCTTTTTGAAGTATATATTGTTGATGTTGTCTGAAAAGACAATGAAAACTTAATGATTAAAACTTCTAGCTCAAAAAACATAACACTACTCATAAATGAGCATATTTATTAAATCTGGTCCATGATTCATTTAAAATTTAAAACTGAGATACTTATTGCTCATTAACAGTATATCAGATGGAACGGGTTATTTAATATTATGAAGTTTTATGGTCTTTATGCCAAATGATAAATGATATGTTAGAAACTGTTAACTTAACTTTACTTACTTACTTACGCCTGTTACTCCCAATCAAGCATAGGCCGCCGACCAGCATTCTCCAACCCACTCTGTCCTGGGTCTTCCTTTATAGTTCTATACAACTGTTGTTCATTCTTCTTATATCTGTCACCATTTCTCGGCGTAATGTGTTTTTCGGTCTTCCTCTTTTTTTGGCCTTCAGGATTCCGTGTGACGGGCTTGCCTTGTGACGCAGTTGGGTGATTTTCTCAATGTAGGTCCTATACACTTCCAGCAATTCATGATTTCTTCCTACATTGGAATCTGGTTTGTCCTCTCCCGCAGTAGTTTGTTTCTGATAGTGTCTGACCAACGGATCCGCAGTATCTTGCTTAAACAAATGTTAATAAACACCTGTATCTTCTAGATGATGGCTTTCGTAGTTGTCCAGGTTTCCGTCCCATAGAATAGAACTGTCTTGACATTTGTATTGAAAAATCTGATCATTGTGTTGGTTGACTTGCAGATGTTCTTCAGTTGTAAATATGCTGCTCTTGCTTTGTTGATTCTCG